CCTAAATGTGGCTGATCGGGATGTGTGATAAGCACAGCAGAGATCTGAAAAGTTCAAGTTTGTACTACAAATTCGAGAAAAAAAAACTCGAAATTCCGTAAATCCATAACGGTGCATCCATGCTTTGCGAAACTGAAGAATAGAAAAATGCGGGCGAAAGGAAAACATAATCAACGCTTTGAGAATCAGGAGAATAAGAGAAGGCGGCATTCAGGAGAGCTCGCGCCAAAGGAGTGGATGCACAGCCCGCCCTTGGCCTTTGGACAGAACCTTTGCGACCCCCCTCCCCTCCAGTTTCTCTCCAGTATGGCTTCCCTTTCACAGGCTACCTAACATCTGCTGAAATCTCTCAAGTCTAGCCATCCATTTGGAAGAGCGGGGGTGGGGCGACAGACACATTCCATCAACTATCGAAAATGGTAGTTTTTAGGCGCTGTCGTCAAGCAGCCAACTAGGGGGGGGGGAGATGTAGCGCGCCTGAACAGACGAATCCACAATCCGGAAAAATTTTTCAAGGTTAATGCGACGTAGCAACCTGGCACTACAATCGTTGGGGATTCCCCAACGTACGATGTCGACCCGGCCGCTAGCCACTGGAAGAATCGCAGAATAGGAGTCGATCGCTTCCTTCCACTGCCTGGATACGTTCTTCTAGTAAAGTTCTACATATGACTCCCCGGTTTTCTCCTCCGATACGACCTCCTACCTCTGTCCATCCCGCCCTCCGTTCTGCCCACCATCTGCAGCTTCTTAGTGCTATTTTCCAAAAAACTCCCCTTTGTCCCCAAAATTTTGCTGTCGAGCGAAAGGGGGGATGCATGCAGTACGCGTTAAAATGAAAAAATAGCTACCAAGAAAGTCTTTTCCAGGTCAAGTCGACTCCCTCTTCCAACAGCCAAATACGATCGTCCGCTAAGGATTCCCCAGTGTACGTTGTGCCCTGTTCCAAAGTCGCGCACTCTCCGATTCTCCTACTCTCCAGATTTGCCATATCGATGCTCACTCTGTCCTTTGACGCGCAAGCTCTTCTGTTCTCCTATTCAACAATCTCACAAGACATGAACGCTGAACGCAGTCAAAACTCGGTAATTTATGAATAAAAGCTCTAACCTGAGATGCACGAGATCTTATAGACTCTATATAAGCCATGTCGAATTTGTCATCCCACCCACAATCCAACAACAAATATGTTTCTTCTATCTGAAAAGTTCAAAATAGCATGAAAGTAAACTTGAACTGCGAAGTTCGACTAGTAACAATTAACCAGTCGGATCGCAGAGCGCTCCTCCTTCTGTGGCATGACCCGGCTTTGCCGGAACATGCGCATTTGCCGCGTGCTGAGTTACGAATCGCTGATCAACCTAACTGTCGAAGGAATGTGTCTGCCTCCAGCCGGTCCGCGTTAAAACTGCCAGAGCAGCAAGGAGTAAACACCGCTGCGAAATGCACCAGAAGGGGAGAGTGCCGCCTTAGCCAAGGCGATCTCGACTGCTTACGTTCACAACCTAGCAGGGAATTTTTTTATATTGCAGCCTGTTAGGTTAGCCGCCGAAGCAGCCTATGATTCATGCATTCTGTCCTCTTAAAGCGTCTTGCTTTGGAATGCACTCCCGCATTCAGCAGTGGAACCCTTTAAATGGCCCTCACTAAGGTTGTTGATGGAAGATAATTGTGGTAAGAGTGATTAAGTCAATTGCTGCTGCGTTCATAACATCTCTGTAAACAAACCCCATGCATTTGGAATAGAGCTAGCTTAGCGGTCGTACATGATGTCGTTACTAATAAGCAGTGAGGAATGAGTCGTGAATCATGTGAGAATCGTTATACTTGAGTCATTTCGATCGCATCGTTGTTGTGAGCGGTGAAGCGGATTTTCCCATGTTACCTTGTCACTTTTAGCTCCTATCACTTCCGTCACTCGATAATAATATTCGCGTCCCATATCACTATCATATCACCGCGGATAGTCACCGTTCCGGATCCGAGGTCCAGCTGTTGCTGTTAACCTCGCTTACGAATTCTGGTGATCCTCACCCTTCCGAGCTCCGTTATCAGATTCTTATTCACTGTATCACGTTCTGTCAACCGCCTCATTAATGTTCCCTTCCCACACCTTATATCACCTCTCGGATCCAAGTCCCACTGTTGCTGTAACCTGCGTTACGAATTTGATGACCCTCTCCTTCCGAGGCCCGTTATCGGATCTTATCAACTGTTATCACTTTCTGTCACCTGTCAATAATGTTCGCTTCCGGCGTACCCTATATCACGCTCGCGGATCCAGCGGTCCTACTGATTGCGTGTCAGCGCGTTTACGGGAGTTCGCGGACCCTCCGCTTCCATGGCTCCCCTTAATGGAACTAATGCAACTGATATAACTTACCGTGTCAACCCAGCGGCGATAGTGTCCCGTCACAACCCGCCTACATCAGTTATTGAAAATCAATTGTCTGCACGGGCAAGCTCGTGACCGTGCTGCTATGAAATTTCGTGACACACAGACGAGAAGCCACAGCGGCCCAGACAAACATACACGAACACACACAGACATACTTAGTGAATTATATAGAAGGATCGCGAATTGGCCTCCTGAAATCTTTCTTGAACCGCTACCCCTCAACACCCCGTGCCGCGCACCGTTTTCTTTTCATGACTGATTTTACATATTCCCAAGTATCTTGATTTGTCACTACCAGATGAAGACTGACTCACTGTCTGACCGCCTCGTACAGCCCCGCCCTTGTACCGCCTACCTCTCACCGTTAATTTTTCGTATGTAATGTTACTTTCTCAACACTTATACCCAAACGCACTCATTGTCTGCATGATCTCGCCAACCGGTTGCTATGCTTGACTAAATGAAAAAAAACGCCAAAAATTCATTCTCAAGAAGCCACAGCGACTCTATGAGGCCGCGTTCATACACAGCGCCTATGCGGAAGCGGTGGAATTTTAGAAAAAAAGTATACGCATCGATTTGGAAATTCCGCAACTCCCCAGGCTTCCGCTGAGGCCACGGCCTCCGCGGAGTCGCTGTGTATGAACGCGGCCTGAAGAGCACTGGGAAAACGGAACTTGGCAGCTGTTGGAACCCACTTTGATTCTTTAAAAACCTTCAAATGAACTTTTTAACCCTATATGTTTTTGAAATTCTGAAAGACTGAGATGTACTGAGCTTAGTTAATCAAAATGATACCTGTAACAAATAACACAGCGGTCCTTCATCCTTTACACCGGACAAGGCTTCAAGTTTAACTACGGATGACATCTGAAACGGTCTTTGTAAGGAAAGCCATTTGAAGAAGACATGGTTAAACGAGAATGTCACTGTAAACGATCGAAAAACCACAAAACCAAGCGCTATTCCAATAAGGTAAAGCACTAGTGGAGCTGAAGGTGTGAGCTCACTGTGAGGATGAAAAAAAATGAAAATGAATGAGCCATTTGCCTTGTGCGGAAGGAGACTTTCTAAACCATTACACCAAACAGCTCAACGTTACTGAAATAGCGCCTAAAATGTAATACACGCAGGCTAATCAAAAAAAAGTGAACACGCATGAAGAAATGGGAAAAGGACATTTGAGACCAACGCGCCGGTTTGGCGCTGCATTTAAAGGTCTCGAATGTCGCGCGTCTATGAATCTCTGTAAAAATTACTCAATTTCGCTTGGTAGGATCAATCAAAACATATTCCTTCTTTCCTTTTATAGTTTCCTATGAATCATCAATCGTGCAACATCGACCAAACGGAAGAAAGCAAAAAGTACGCTAAAGAGTAGTAGCTCTTTTGAAGAGTCATAATGAGGCTCATGGGGCAAAAGTAATTTCACTCATTTACGGATTCTCTATAAAACATCCTTCGTTTTGCATGGTACGAGTTATGGTTAAGACCCATAACTTAAACGCAGATAAAATATAGATAAAATATATATAGTGCATATGAAACAGGAAAAATCACGTAAAAAGTCAACAACCGGAAAACCAACGCGACAAATTTCTCTCAAGGCACATACGACCCCTCTCTCTCCCAACGACCAAATACGACCCCCTCCCCCTATGTGTTTCACACAACGATGCTGTACCCTGGCCAGGTATTCAACCCCTCGCTACTGTTAAAAGCGGAAGCATAAAGGGACTAGTTGCCAGTGAAAGTGATACCTCACAACCTCGTTTGCTGCGAATGATAGGGCATGTCAGGGGGTGGGGGCCTGGGTTTGGCGCAGCGCTATCACGTTCTCCAGCTACTGTTGAAGCAGGCATGTGACATCAATTGGTGGAAAACAGTTGATACTCCGGCATCCGCAGTGAAGAAGACTTGGTTAGTTGGTTTTTCATCGCGAACTTCTACTCAGCTAGAATGCGCCATGCATTGAACATCCGTTCAGAACGTCTGCGGCATTCAAATGCAAACTTGAACATTCCAGGAGTTTCAGGGAAAAGTAATAGATGGGGTTCTCACAAAACGCAAAGTAGATGTCAAGCAGGGGTCGATAAAAACCTTCTGAACTCTCTCCCCCCCCCCCCAACTGCGTCTCGCGCCGCCGTCCACAGGTATACACTCTTGATCGCTGTGGATGCAGGGGTTTGTCAGTGCGCTGCGTTTGGCGCGGCATCAGCTCCTTTTCCACCAATTGTTGTCGCTTGCCCCGGGTACAGAACGGGCTGAAATCCAGTCCTCCTGACACGTCCCAGCAACTTAGAGAATCTCTTAGCAATTTCTCAATGCGTGGGGTAGGATCAATCAAAACATATTTCCTTTTTTTTCTTCTATGGTGTTCTTTGAATCATCAGTCTGTGCAACATCGACCAAACAGAAGAAAGCAAAAAGTACGTTAGAGTAGTGAGAAGCTCTCTTAAAAGAGATATAATTAGGCATCATGGGTCAGTTTACGGACTCTTCATTAGACAACTTTTGTGTACGGTTTGAATAGTAGGACACAAACAAACAAGAAACACAGATAAAATTGTCAACAAAGAAGTATACCACACAAGACATCGGAGAGCCAGGATGGATATATTCCATACACGCTAAATTTATATTTGTACTATGCACGCCAGGGGGCGCAAGCGACAAATTTAGACAAATACACATTAGCAGAAAACTCTTCACACCTCGATATTTTAGAAATCCTCAATTCCTAGTAAAAAAGCAAATTATTCATCAAATTAAGATTTAAAGCCAAATTTCTGGCAATTTGGTACGAAAACGCTGAAAGAAAGCAAAAAAGGTCCGAAATTTGCTGGAAAATCGAACGAAAATCTAGGCGTTCGAGGAATGGTGTGAGACGCAATTGCGAACGCTGCTGTACTTAGACGGCTGTCTGAATTTTCTTTGGTGGGACGGGAGTCCGATGTGAGTTTGGATCGTTTTGGAACCGTGCAGAACTAATCCTCTGCCATTTGGGGGTAAGGGAAGTTCAGTGTCCTGAGAGCCCCTCTTCTGGCACGCTTCCACTATGCAAGGTTCCTTGAAAGCTCACGACATCTTTCGTACTTTTTCGTGGACCATTAAACATTGGAAACTGCGTGCAATTATCCACACGATAATCTCTGGTCTGGAATAATGTCCTTACCTCATCTTGAAATGAGAGCTTGAACTCGCTCTGGCCAACCGAGCTCTCCGTTAAGTGAAGCCGGCTAACTACCACTTCCATGTGAGAGGATGAAACACCCGTTTGAATCCGGACCCAGAACTCACTCAAATGCCTGCTCCGAGGAGGAAAGCGGTGCTCCGAAACCAGTGTAGTGCGCACGTCTTCGACAGGGGTATGTGACATAAGAATCGTAATTCACCGCGCTGGTGGGCGTCGCGTGCGACGTCGCGCCCGCAAATGACGATGGTTCCAGGTAGTAGATGGCGACAACAGGCAATTCAGAACCGAAAATAGTCATGAATGTCTACGATGACGGGGTCTACATGAAGTCCGGTGCTCCAATCGACAGGTTAACACGAGTTAAGAAAACGCCGCGCCACGCCGCGCGCCGGAGCGGCAAATTACGACTCTCTTGCCCGTCTCCCCCTCGAGAGAGGGTGGTATTCGGTAGCTGGATGGGACAGGAAGTCGGCCTCATGAATACTTTTGAACATTCATTGTTCCATTTAATGGGTGCTCAGCGGTATTGTTCTCTGAGGATGCCG